ATTTATATATCTTCATCTCAGCAATGTTTTGTCCTTTCCAGTGAAAAGTCTTGCACCTTTTATCAAATTTATCCAATTTCACATCTTTAATGTTCTTATAAATAGCACTTTTATTTCAGTTTTCAATTGTTCACTGATAGTCCATAGATACGCAATCAATTTTTGTATTTCAGTTTGGATCCCAAGATCCTGCTAAACTCATTTGTTATTTCTAATAGCTCTTTTGTAGATTCCTTAGAATTTTCTACAATAATTTTTCTGCAAATAAATACAGTTTTACTTCTTCCTCTGTAATCTACATGCATTTTATTTCTTGGAATTGCTTTAGTTCCTGCTGAGCAGAAACTATGTTGAACAAAAGTGGAAAGAGCAGACATCCTTGCCTTGATCCTGATCACATTCATTCTTTCACCACTAAGATGGTACCTGTTGGCTTTTCATAGATGTCCTTCTTTTATCAGGTTACATAAGTTCCCTCCTATTTCCAATTTGCTGAGAATTTTTATTGTGAATGGACACTGAATTTTTGTCAAATGTTTTCTCTGATTTATTGAGATGATCATTTTTATCCTATTAATATATACTGACTAATCCGAAAACGTTAAATCAACCATGAAGTACTGATCACAAATTGCACTTGATCAAGAGACACTATTCATTTACTATAGTGTTAGATTTGATTTGGTAAAACTTAGAAATTTTTGCATCATGTTCATGACTAACAGTCTGTGGCTTTCTTTTTTTGTAATGTCTTCATCTGTATTGGGTTTAATGGTATTACTGGTATAAAGTCAACCTATGAAGTGAGTTGAGAATAAATTATCTCCTATTTTATGAAAGTCCATATAGAGCTGATAATATTTCTTCCTTAAATGAACATAAAAGTCACTAGTAGAGCCATCTGAGAGCTGAGGTTGCATTGTGAAAGATTTTTAACTACAAATTCAATTATTTTAATAGATATAAAGCTATTCAAGTCATTTGAGGAAATTTTGGTAGTTTGCATCTTTCAAAGTATTTGTTCATTTCATCTAAGTTGTGGAATTTACTGACATAAAATTATTTACAATATACCCTCATTATCCTTGATCTGCAATGACGTTTCTCTTGTTCCTAATATTGGTAATTTTTGTCCTGTCTTTTTTTTTTCCTTCATCATTTTGGCTTGAGGTTTATTAATTTTATTTCTAAAAACCCAGCTCTTTGCTTCATTTTCCTATTATTTTTCTGTTTCCCACTTCACTGATTTCTGTTATCTTTATAATTTTCTTCTTTCCACTTATTTTGGGTTAATTTAGTCTTCTAGGTAGAAACTTAGGTCTTTGATTCAAGACCTTCTTTTCTAATTTAAGTGTTCAATGCTATGAATTTCCATTTAAGAACTCCTTTAACTGTGTCCCACCACATCCTTGGGTTTTATGTGGATTGAATAAAATGATGTGTGTGTGTGTGTATGTGTGTGTGTGTGTGTATATATATATATATATATAGAGAGAGAGAGAGAGAGAGTCTGTAAACAAAAATTTGGCACTAGGTATATATTGCATAAAATAGATCTAATGCTTTCTTCCCATCAAGGTTAGCAGAAAATGCCAATGGACTTACACTAAAACCAATGTTAATGATTATATTCTTGATAGTAGAAAGTACCATAAGCAAGAAAGCCTAACAATAGTCTTATAATAAAAGTATCTTCTGTTTTTACAATAAAGTACCATTAGATCTTCTTCTTATGATGTAGGAAAAATGAAATTGCTTGGTTTTTCTTTTTTTTTTTTTTTTATAAGTTAGCAATCTGTCGTTTCACTTGCAACACACAAATTTATTGTGAAGTTCAATTACTCCACATGTAACTGTCTGAATAAACTAAATATTTCATTTTTATATGGCAAAGATAAGAATTTCTATAATTCTGACTTCAAAGAACCTTTTAAATATTTTTTAAATATTTTTTTGAGAGAGAGAGAGAATTTTTTTTAATATCTATTATTTTAGTTTTCGGTGGACACAACATCTTTGTTTGTATGTGGTGCTGAGGTTCGAACCAGGCCGCACGCATGCCAGGCGAGCGCGCTACCGCTTGAGCCACATCCGCAGCCCCTCAAAGAACCTTTTAACCTATAAAGGAGAGTTTAAAAAGTAAGCATTCCGTATATTTTCGAATCTTTTTAACAAAAATGAACAATATCTACCCTATCCTCAGTTTCAAAATATATAGAACCCAAAAAAAACACTCCTCTAACTGAATATAAATGCATGACAAATTGTTGGTTTATTTAAATGCTAAACCTATCCTATCAAACATTCATGTTTCCCAAAACACCACCAACGGTTGTATTAAACATTTAAGTATAATTATTTTAGACAATTATAGAAATTAAATTTACACTTAAATCTTTATTTATCCAGTGGTATAATACCCAGCTCTGTATACCACCTAGTCAAGTGACCTGCATCTTCCCACACTTACACTTCTTCAGTCCTCACCTGTTAGTCTTCATTTAGGCTACAGGTTCTCAACCTTGACTGCACATTGGAATCACCTGGGAATCCTGTAAGTACTGTTGCTGGGTACCACAGCTACAGCTTCCTAGCTAGAGTCTTTAAAAGTAGGGATCTTTAGCAGGCACTGAGTAGCAAATCCAGCTACTCAGAAGGCTGAGGCAGGAGGATCACAATATAGAGGTCAGCTGTGAGAACCTGTCTCAGAAAATAAAAAGGGCTGGGGATGTGGCTCAGCAACAGAATGTTTACTTAGTATGCAGAGGCCCTAATTCAATCCCCAGAATAAAGAATTGGGGGGGGGGGGGCAAAGCTCCCTGGTGATTCAAATCCTCAAACCATGAGTGAGAAGCACCAGTTTAGGCTCTCTCCAAAGAGACAAGCTTCTCATGACCTCTGGCTCATCTGTACCACCCTATCTCAGAACCTAGTTCCTAGAGAACTTTGCCCGACCTAATTCCTAGTCAGACACTAATCAGTAAATCCATTCAGATTCCTATGCTCACTTCTATTTCATATCCAGAAACTCATAGGATAAAATGCATGTATTTTAGTCATTCCTTTCTAGTTCACTTCTAAATTCCACAAAGTAAGTTGGTTAAAGAAAAATGAACTCAGGGGGCTGGGGATGTGGCTCAAGTGGTAGCGCACTCGCCTGGCATGCGTGCAGCCCGGGTTCGATCCTCAGCACCACATACAAACAAAGATGTTGTGTCCACCGAAAAATAAATAAATAAATATTTAAAAAAAAAAAAGAAAGAAAAATGAACTCAATATGATTTGATGATTGTGCTTAAACAGCCATGATGGTTTTTTGACCTCTGTTAAAAAAGGTGGTGGGGAGGGCTAGGGTTGTAGCTCAGTGGTAGAGCACTTGCCTAGCATGTGTGAGGCACTAAGTTGGATCCTCAGCACCACATAAAAACAAATACATTTTAAAAAGTTGAATTCTTAAAAAAAAAAAAAAATGACAGGGGCGGGGCCGGGGAGGTTGGGTTCTGGGAATGTAGCTCAGTGGTGGAGTGCTAGCCTACAATGCATGAGGTCCTGGGTTAAATCCCCAGTACATTAAAAAAAAAAAAAAAAAGTGGTGGATTTTAGCCTGGAGCATGGTGGCATAAGATCCTTATCCTCAGGACACTGAGGGATAAGGATCTCAAGGCCAGCCTGGGCAACTCAGCAAGACCCTGACTCAAAAATAAAAAAAATAAAAAGAGCTGGGGATGTAGCTCTGAGGTACAGTGCCATTGGGTTCAATCCTCAGTGCTCCACAAAAGGAATGAAGGACAGAAGGAAGGGAGAAGGGAGGGGAGAGGAAGAGGGGGTAGTTCCACAAGCCATCTCTAATTTTAGAGAACACATGGTGAAATTACTAATTCCCCAAAGTATAAAACAAAAAAATCTAAATGAATCTTCATCATTATCCATCTGATTTCATCATTTATTAATTTCAAAGAGATTTCCAATACTGATTCCCATTCTGGGGTCAAAACTGACCCCTTCCACAACTTAAACCATTAAATTCCTTAGTCTTCAAACCCGGGTACTGCACTTTGCCAAACAAGACCACTTTCATCATCTCAAACTGAGAACGATAACACCTACATCACAAGGACAGTGTTAGCATTAAGAAGCAAAAGCATTTCTACACTGTGTAGAGTGCTCTAGAAATTTTAGTTTATTTTCAGCAGAATTTTGGCCTCATGGGAAATATGCAGAAAGCAGAGGCAAGTGAGAAGTTGCCGGGTAGCGACGTGTCAATACAAAGAAAAACCAGCAGGTGATGGCAGGGAGGCAGGGCGGTCAACAGTCTTCTAAGGAGCTCTGGTAGTCTCGTCTCAGACCCATAGCTGCAGAAACTACACACTGCAGAACTCACACGTATCAGATTGAAGTTAGTTGCTAACCCATGAAAAGCTCATCTCCTTGGAAAACTGCTAAACAATAAAACTTCGCCAACATGCAAACCCAGGCAATCTGATCCCTGCCAGTGTAGCTTCTGTACCTCTGGGATGTAATGGATGTGCATGCTGAAACACGTGTGCACGTCTGCACGGCTGAACCAACATGTATCCATAAACACTATGAATAATACTCGCGAGAATGTATGGCTTTCTCCTAAGAAGCGCTTGGAGCACTTTCATATCACCCTTTTCTTTCCCTTCCTATCTACCCTGGGCTGAGAGTTGGGATGCCTAACCCAAAGTCTGGGAGGAGGGAAGTGACCACCTTAGCCCCTTCCCAGCTTCCCGTTAGCCCAAAACCGCGGTTCTGAAAAGGGACCAGGTCCAGGCCGGCTTCCTCAAGACACACCTGCGCCGGCACACACCCACCGCGGTCGCGTCACCAGCGCCGCGGCCATCTGGGAGAGGACCAAAGTCTGGAGGGAATTCCCTGTGCTGCTGAGCAATGGGGAAGCGGGACCCGGGCGATTTTTGAAAAATGTAATGGAAGAAGAGATCCAGTGGACAGAAAGAGGAGGAGTCCACGCTACTCACCCAGCCCTCGAAGGTGTCCGAGGTGCCGGCCGTGCGCAGCAACTCCTGGAATTGCAGGGTGCAGTTGGCCACAAAGTGGTCGTAACCCAGGGGTGTCTCGTGGAATACAGCCAGCTCAAGGTGGCCGCCGTCGGTGACGTTAGCGCAGAACTCCTCGTTGTACGTGGGTTTGTTGGTCTTCTGCTTGGTGCTGGTCTGGCCCACGCGTACCTGGTCCACGCTCACTGTCAGGTAGGGGTCCAGCAGCTGGTAGCCCTTCTTGAAGAGCGAGTGGCGCAGGGACCAGCGGGTTGGCTGCAGCCCCACCGCCTCTCCAATGCGGACCCTCAAATAGCCATTGAACTTCATGGTGCCGGACGACATGCCGGCGCTGCTGCCCTGGCCCCAGGGGGCCGCGCTGGCTCGCACGAGAGAGCGCGGAGACTTGGCTCAGGCCAGCCCTCGCGGCAGCCGCAGGAGTGGAGGCAGCTCCAGGGAAAAGCAGCGCCAAAGCCCCCCTCGACCGGCCATTCTGCCTCCTCCGTGGGACCTTCCCCTCCCCTCCTTCCCTCCCTCTCTTACTCCCGAGGTGGAAAGGAGGGGAGCCCGGCGCCGAGCCCTCCGCGGGCCGGGGAAGCTCGACCGTTCCTCTCGAGCGCGCGGCGCTTCCCGGAGGATCGCGTGGGACTCGCCCCTTCTCCCGGGCCGGGAAGCTCCTCTCCTGGGAGAGCGACCCGTCCGGTTCGCTCCAGCCCCAAGCGTCTCTTCCCCCGCCTCCTCTTGCCTCTCCTCCTGCCCCCGCCTCCGCGGGCTCACGCTCTCCCCCACTCGGCGAGCTTCAAACCAGGAAGCAGCTGCCGCCGCATCCCGAGCAGCAACCTCCCGCCGCCAGTCTTCAAGTTCACCGAACCTCAGCGCCGACTCCTCGAGCCTTCCGCACCCTGGGGGCGTGGTGCGCAGCCCGCCACCCAGCCCTGCTGGTGGGGTGCCCCGGCGGAGGAGCCCAACGCCCGCACCTCGCTGCGTGCTCCCTTCTCCCTCTCCAGGTCTGGCGCGCGCGGCCAGCTAGGGGCCACCCCAGGAACGATCCAAAAAAGGGAAGGGTTCATGAGCGAGCTCGATCAAACACCTGAGGCATAGGAGAAGGGCTGGGGAGGGCTGGAAGGTCTGGAGGATGTGGAAGACAAACAGCGGGGAACCTCCCTCCTACCCTCTGCGACAGTCTAGTGACTCTGCCTGGCACTCTGGGAGAGCCCTGGCCCAAGGCAGGAGCACAGCGACAGAGAGATTCTTTTTTTCCTAATCTTTACAGGAATGGCTCATCCTGTTTGTGAGCCTTTCCTGCAGAGGGTAATTACACAGTTGTTTTGTTTTTGTTTTTGTTTTTTGATAGGGCAGTTAGTAATGATGGAAATCCTGTCCTCCTCCTTCCTCAGAGAGGTGTGTCTCCTTGCACAAAGAGCAGGAAAGGTCGGTTCTTCTAGAGACAGACAGGGCCGAGATCTAATAAGTCTCTTCCTCTACGGAGTGGTTCCTGGTCCACCCAGCCCTGCCTGGCAAGGTCAGAAAATGTTCATGCACAGGCTGTCCCCCAACACGTGCGGCTGAAAAATTGCCTCTTCAAAGAACAGTGTGTGTTACTGCTGTCAAAATGAGCAGCTTCTGATCCTTCCCACCAACTGCTTCAGGAGGTTTTGTCCCCTGGGAGGACTTTGGTCTACTCTGCTACACCGAAAGGTGTACTCCCTGAGGGCCAGCCTGGAATATAAACCAATTTATATTCCATAAAGTCTAGGCCATTCTTTTTTTTTTCTCTTACATACATGACAATAGTGGGATGCATTACAATCATAATTATCCATTCCCAGCACAATTTTTCGTAACTCTGTTTATAAAGTATGTTCATGCCAATTTATGCCATTATACATGAGATCTCTTTTTTGCATTACAATTCTTAAAACACCTTTATACCACAACTTATCATATTTCTGTTTGTATATAAGGTATGTTGACACCAAATTCACATCTTCATACATGTATTTTGTTTAATGATGAGGGTCTCCTTCCACCATCCTTAAGATACTTACTCTCTTTCTTGCTATAGATTTTCTTGGCGGTGGTTTGTTTTTTTAGCCCCCTCCTCCCAATGTCCTAATGGGTTCTCTGAATAGGATCTTGGCCATTTCACACTAATGAATAGAGGACTAGCCAGAAATAACTGCACACTATACAATAAAAACAAGAACAATGGATTTGGGGGTGGGGGAGGGCCTGTCTTGAAAACACCAAAGCTTCTTTAAAGAAAAGGGCAGGGATATAATACATCCCCCTAAAGTCACCATAGCTTTAGGTGGAACTTGTAAAGTAAAGACATCTAGAGGACATCTCCCTTCTGGCCCTAGGGCTCCAGGGGAAAAGGTTAAGTTCATAGTTTGAGTCAACTGTCATCTTCTCTTCCAAAGAGCTGAACTTTAAGAACCACTGAAGATTTCCTGCACAGCTACCCCAGGGTTGGGATATAATCCATCAACCAGTGCCAATTAGGCATCGGGGTGGACAGTAGTGCCAGAGCCATAGGAAGGACAGCCAGGGTGCCTTCCTTCCCTGAGTTTACAGTCCCATAGGAAGGAGAAACAACAAATAGAAGATGACATGTGTAGGGTACAGTAAAGGAAACACTCAAGATGCCATAGAAGAATGTAGCCTGCATTGGTGATCAGGCAAAGATTCCCTGAAGAAGTGAACAACACTTTTACTAGGGCCCCTCCCTTCAGCTGTGCCCTGCATGGTACCACTCATTCAGACAACCTGAAAAAAGGGAGCAAAGAGGACTCTGTGTGGCTGAAGACAAGAAAAACAAAGGGCAATTGGATAAAATCAGCCTGAAAATATAGGCATATGAACAGACTAGGAGGTCATGGGAAACTCTTTTCACATTACCTTTGGGCAACTGGAAGCCCCAGAAGGCTGTCAAACAGAGCTAGGCCCAGATGCAATTTGTGTTTTAAAATATATCTCTGGGGCCATGCAGTGAATGGATTGGAAGGAAAAAGCATGGGTTTGTGGAAAGCAGTTAGGAGGACATCACCAACACCAAAAGGAAGAAAGATGGTGATGGAGATGAATGTAAATAGATTTAGTGGTTAAGAGGTAGAATTCAGGTCTTGGGGGTGGATTGAATGGAGGGAATGAGGAAGAGGAAAGTATCAAGGCTGACTTGCAGAAAATGGCTTGAGTGAATTTAGAAGTCATTAAAGAGTTAAGAAAGCCTGCAGGAGGATAAGATTTGTGGGAGGAGATGAAGAGTTCAATTTAAAACTTGTCGAGTTTGATATATCTGTGATACACGTAAGTGGAAATCTGAACTGGGCAATTGACTAGGTGGTTGTGATGCTCAGAGGGGCAGTCTGAGCTAAAAACATAAATTTAGAAGCCAGTGTATATAGATAGTAATGGAAACTAGAATAGTGGGTGGGATTCTGTTATGGGAAAAGTCAGGAAGAGAATCGGGACAGAGCCCACCGGAAACTCCCAACATTTACAGGTGGAAGAGATGCAGGCAAGGGGCTTCAGAAGCAGCATCCAGGGGTGTAGGAGGAAAATTAGAAGGATATGGTGTCCGGGCATTGTAGAAATCAAAGAAAAAGTGTCCAAGCAGGGAGGAATGGTGAGCTAGGTCAAGTGATGCTAAGAGATTAAGCAAGGACAAGAGAGTGTCAGGTGGTGTTGGCAGTGGACAGATTCTGGGTAATCTTTGAGCAGTTTCAGGTGAGGGTAAAAGACCATTTGGAGTTGGTTGAGGTGAAAAATAAGGTGGTGGAAAGACTAGGAGAAAACACTTTTGTTTCAAGAGTTTTGGCTGGAACAGGAAAGAGAGAGCACGCTGAGAAAAGAAGACGGAATGCAAGAAGAGGGCTTTTTTAGAATGGGTATCAAGAGAGGAGAGAGATCACAGTTCTGAGAATACAATTCTACACAATTAGAATACAGGACACAATTAGAATACAGGACACAATTAAAGGAAGGAGCCCTAGTTAAAAAGAAGCATCTAGCATGGTACAGTGATACATGCCTGTAGTCCCAACTTCAAAGAAAGCTGAGGCAAGAGGATCACTTGAGTTCACAATTCAAGACCAGTCTGGGCAACATAGTCAGATCCTAGCTAATGATGAAGAAGGAGGAGGAGGAAATAAGAATCTTTGGCCATCAACCTGCTGTCCAAAATTGCCTGACTAAAGTCACACATTTATAATGAGTTCTTTGAACCCCCCAAATGTCACAAATAGGCTACCTATGGTATTTTCTATCAAACTTATACTTTCTCTTCTTCCTTCCCCCTCTGCATCACCTGTTGGTTTTCTTTTGCTTCTCTCCCCCTCATTCCTCATTTTCTCCTCCTGCAAATGGTTCTGTCCATACAACCAGGAAAGATGATCACTAACAGCTCCAACTTCCCGTATTCCCAGCTTAACAGTCTCAGCAGAGCAAGGATTTTCTCAACCAGCCTCTTTAAATCAATCCCCAGGATGAATCCATTGCCTCCAGTTTGTCATGTGTCATGAAGTAGCAGCTGGGAACACCAGACAGGTACAAGGTACCTATAGGAAGTATTGTCAATACAAACCTCACCTATATAACAACTTTTATGCAGAGTTGGCCCTGACAACCCCCATGGAAAGCAGGGAAGCAAAAAAGCCCCTTTTCTCTGCACATCCCACCCAACTTACTAGTGACTTATATTTAATATTTAATATTGCAATACAGATATATCTATACTGACTGGTTTAAAATCTATATCACAGGTCCTTTGACAGGATCACATCACCACTACTGTTTCTTGTCTTTGTTACACTATAACTTTGGACTTCTTTATATATAACTCCTTATATATTATCTAAATGCTTTTTTGGTTGATGGGTTGCTGGATTGACTGAATCACTATCATTTTTTTCTGATTTCTTAAGAAACATTTCACACAACCCCCATTCTACTTCCAGAATTAGAGAATTTAGAGAGTAACACAACCAGGTCAAAACTACTTCATGTTAGTATAAAATGTCACAGCTTTTGGAGACCAATTAACAATAAAGAAAAGGTTCACAATATGAAGTGGGTTTTTATGCCTGCAGATATATAGCAATAGTGGAATGTATAAATTATAGAATACCAACTGAATAGATATTATGTAATTATTAAAATTATATATAATAAACAACCAAAGAATAGTAAACAACATTTAAAAACCAGAGTAAGAAGTATAAACACACTATGAAGTACATAAAATATGTATAAGGAAGGATAAAGATTAGAATGCAACGCAAATAAATGAAACAGTTCTTAGAGTGTTGTGCTTATAAACAAATAATAAATGCACTTACCTTAAAGGGCTTTGAAGCTAAAATAATTCACATAAACATTTGATACACTGCCAGGCACATGGTGCACTTTGGCTGTTATGTTGGCGGCCATATTATAATTTATTGAGCATCCACCAGCATTATAACAAGGCACTTGACAAACATTATTCTTTTAATCCTCACGGGAATCATATGAACACTATTAACATCTCTGTTTTACAGATAAGGAAACCAAGGGTCAGAAAGTTATGTGACTTGGATCATATAGTTAATACATAGTGAAGCTGAGTTTTGACCTAGTTTTTGAAAAATGCTTGCATAAATCCATTCCCAGAGTTAACTGTAATCCATAGTAGGATTAAAAATTACTGCTTGTGCTGCATACAAAAGGAAAGAGAAGATGGAGACTCTCAGCGGGAA